TTTTCAGTTTTGAGGGTGCTTTTTTGAATATTCAAGTGCAGCTGAGGCCGAAGTTGACTTGGGCAAAGCAGTTACAAAGCATATGTATTTCTACTCCAGTACCTAAGCTTTCATGATTAAAATTCTCCGAAAGTACTCATGACCTACAATGTGAAATACTGCAGTTATAGCACTTTAACAGGCAAGATTATTTTCTTCTTGCTTAGAAAAGTCTGTTGAACTACTACTTCTCACAAGGGTCCAAATTGAAAAATAATACACAGATTGATTTGAAATTTGGCCCTGATGATTTATTCCATCTTCAGTTATTTTATTTTTTTTTAGTTAGTCCTGCTCTACCCTTTGCAAAAGTATCAGTTAGCATGGTATTTGGCTGTAGAAATGGAAGAAGGCATAGATGGGCTGCAATAACCGGATTCCATGGGTAGCAAGCGCATGAAGAGGTTTAAGAAGTGTATGACCATCTTACACAGCACTTCTGAATTTAGACCAACATATCTAATTATGCTCCTATTTTAGCTCTTTGATGGGCAGAGCTTAGCATGTCGCCTTGTTACATATGAAGCTACATAACATGCAATTATTTCTTATGATTTTTCCTTCTGAAAAACACTGTACTTAACAGAAGAAGCTTTCCAACCAGGTCTTGAGGTAGTGAGAATACTTACTTCTCCCTCACAGCTTCTTCCAAGTTTCAAGCACTACGTTACTTTCTCATTAAATGTTTTCTTAGAGACATGTTATATACATAGAACCCCCAAGAGGGGCCGGTGCAACCAAACGCCAAGATGCAGGGAGTGGGATTGGTGGGGGTGAACCACTTCTATTTTATTCAGGAGGCAGGTTGTGTTTCTGTAATATTAAGTGAAAACTAGTGGAAAACCGGCCAACATAAGAAACGGTAAGACAAAAAAGAGCGAGTTCAAAAAGAAACGGGTCCCGCTCATCCTTTAAGTTCATCTGCCTCAAGAGTGAAAAAGCGCAGGACATGAACCTCCACGCTGTGAGCCTGCGGCGGGGCGCCCACCGCCCGCACTCACCTTGCCGCAGCCCGGCGGTCCCCAGAGGATGAGGGAGGGGATTTCGTGGGACTCCAGCAGGGACCGCAGCAGGGTCTGCGCCCCCAGGACCCGCTCCTGCCCCACGTAATCCCCCAGCGTGTCAGGCCGCAACAGCTCCGCCAGGGGTTTCCCCTCCAGCTTCTGCGCCAGGCTGGCCCCGCGTAGCGCCGCCGCCGAGCATCCATCCCCCGGCTGCACGGCGGCCTCGTCCCGCCCCGCTCCGCTCCTCCCGCCGCCGGCCCCCGGGCTCTGCCTGCCGCCGCGGCCCTTCTGGAAGAGGGAGAAGACGGGGGGGCCCTCGGCCGGGCGGGCCTCCTCCGGCTCCCCCTCGGCCCGGCTGCCCGGCGGGGCGGCGGCGAGGCGCGGCCGCTTGCTGGGGGGCTCGGCCGCGGCCTCCCCGGCCTGCAAGCAGCGGTCCAGGTGCGAGTTGATGTGCGCGCCCGGCAGCTCCCGCAAGCACACGGGACACCGCACCAGCGCCTCCTCCTCGGAGCCGTCCGTCGGCTCCATCGGCTCCCCAGGCCCGCGCAGGAAGCGAGGCCGCTGGCCCTGGGCGCCCGCAGCCCTTCGGGAGCTGTAGTCCGGGAGGCGCCGCTCCCCGCCCCCGCCTGCGGGGCTTTCGTGTCCCGCGGAGCTACTGTGGGTGGGATCATACTGTTCAATATTGTCGGGGTCTCTGAATTTGGGGGTCCACTGGGTCTTTCACTGAAATATGTAAAAACTTCATTCTCGGTGGAAGAGCTACCAATAAATTACTTTTTTTTCCCTTTATTTTTCCCTTTTTTAAATTAAAAAAACCCCAGCTCTTGTGTATCATGCAGAATGCAGGGCATGCAGGTTGTATTTCAAAGCAGGGTGCAGTAAACAGAACCATTCACATCCTGATTTACCACCTGAACTTGACCCACTGCTAATTCTTTCCACATTACATCTTGTTTTCTTTCTTAAATTGTATATTTAGGTTTAATTATACATGGTGACATAATAGTTCCCAGCTTGTAAAATTCAGGTCAGCCTAATGTCAGATGTATGAGGAGGTAAACAAGTCTGCCTACTGGCTAACAGTACCCCCAGGCTTAAAATTTGAAAGTGGCTGGTTAGAAAATGGCCAATGGGTCAGAAATAAAGTTTTTATTTGAACTGAAGATGGAAGCCAAAGGACTGAGTTTCAAGTAAAATGCTTTACAGCCCGTCACATAAACCTAGTTCTGACTGAAGGGATTACGATCTAAAACCAAATGCTGACACAAAAAGGGATTGTTTATGTGTTCTTCTTTGTGGCTAATACCTATTTCTGAGTAGTTTTATAAACATTTACTATATTGTTTTTATTTTTTATTGTGCAAATATGTTAATTTTCTGCTGTTGGGCAGAAAAAGTAGAAGGGCTGTAGGTATGTACTGCCTTTTCTTACAACCAGGCAAATTTCTGTTGGTTTATGACGTGTGTGTGGTTTCTGAGTGCGTAAGTGAAGATGTAGTTCATGAAGCAAGTTATTTTGCTTGAAGTGAGAAAGTGGCTTGCTGAAGATGACTCAGAAGAAAGTATCTCCCTGGCCAAAACTGGGTAATGGAAATGGTTGGAGAAAGGTTTTCACCCTCCTTTGTGGGAAATGGAGCTCCACACCATGTGAAGGTCATAGTTTCCTGTTGTTCAGTGGCATATGACCAGGGTGAGATTTCTTCTCTGGGACTATGGAGGAGGCACTTGCAAACGAATTTCAGTGCGTTCATCCTAGAAACTTTCCATTGTTTAGCTTATTGTTTCAGGGATGTCTTAAGATAATAATAGGGGAGAGGGAAATCACGTTTGAGTCTCTGCTTGGCAATAGAGCCCAGTAAGATGTTTGAGCTTGCCATCCCATAAATATTTTCCCAGATAACTGACTTACTGGTCAGCTTGAAGGAACAACGTGTCCTTTAGTTAGACATGTCATTCTCATTAGATGAATGGGCACAATTGGTGATCAAAGTCTGAAGGATGATGTACTACTGGAAGAGCTATGGAGAACCTGAATCAGTTTTTCTTGGTTGCAGTCATGTCAGGCCAGAAGCACTCTTCACAGCCAGGCCACTCTAAAACACTGTAGGATTTGATTAGCTGGAGACACTGAGGCAGCAGGAGGGCATCTAGAAACATCTCCTGGTTTTTTCTGGCAGCTTTGGATTATATTGCATCACCCCTTGGCTTGGAGTAGATCAAAGAATCTGTAGAATAATGGCTCGAAGGTTACACAGAGCCCTTGGGTATGTCACCTGCGATTGTCAGAGCCTTTAGGAAAACTCAAGAACCTGCTCTTGAGAAATGGGGGAAGAAAATCTCATGAAGTGTTCTTTCAGCTGAAGGGGATGGAAAGGGATGTCAGAGCCATGAAAGCTGGTGAGAGAGGCTAGAAGCAGCAGACTGGATATTTTTACAGACTTCAGATGATGAATGTCTTACAGTCCAATGATGGTGTTTGTGCCCCTCCCATATTAACAGTGTGATCTATGACTGCAATAACAAGGTAGCAGAAATATCTCTGGAAGACTTATTTGAAAGCTGCTTGCATGGTCCATTGCTGTCTATTATCTCTAAATGTCACCACTGGCTACCCATCTCCTGCATCACATGTGATATCACGTGGCATCTTTCTCATCTGGGAAGTCTGGAGGGCTAACTGTGGGCAGAGGAGATAGGTGATGTAGGTACACATCTAATCTGTTGCATGTGCACAGATGTGGGGTTAAAACACTGAGGAACATTTTCTCTTGGAAGGTGTTCAGGTAAAAGTAACTGATTTAATTGGGTCTCTGGTTGTACACTGTGCTTCTAATGACTGTAAGGTTGTATATATATATATTTAATTGCACCATATAGTTTATGGTATTTATGCAAGTTAAATTGAAAACTGTGAGCTGTGTAATGAGATTTAACAGATTCGGCTTTCTAGACCTAAGGCACTGGGACTGTGCTTTTGTACCTGGATTTCCAGTACAGTGAAAGAAGATGTAATAATAAAAATGGAAATGTTTTTGTCTTCTTTTTCATGGGTCTACACAGAGATGCTAAGAGGAATTTTAGAGTAGTTTCTCTTGATCTTTTAAAATAATTCTTTGTACAAAAGAACATATATTCAAGGTGTAGAACATATATTCTACATATATTCAAGGTGTAGAACATATATTCTACATATATTCAAATATATGTAGAACATATATTCAAAGTAGTTATTACTTGAGGGGGGAACCCACCACCTTGCTGTGGAATAAAAGCCCTTCTAAAGAGAATCAAAACTGACAGCTTGACTTGGAATAACCTTCCAGTCAATCTTACCATTAAACAAGCCTCAATGATCCTACCTCATGTAAGTACCAGGTATATCATGAGAGCCTAAAGTGGGAAGGAACCCAGCTGAGGACTGTGCTTTTCTGCAGCCTTCAACAGAGGGCCTAAAATCTCCACCATTTTGACAATTACCTATTTCTGTGGTACAGGAGAGTGAGAAGAGAGGGAAGGCTGTGTTCATGCCTAAACTACTTTGTGTAGTATCTAAAATCGTTATGGACCTAATAACAGGGTCTTTGCATGTTAACTTGCAGGAACTGCAACAGAAAAGAGAACATGTTGAGAAACAGGGAAACACTGAAGTAGCTAAACAGTGGAGAGTGGTCCATAAGCAAGGTCTACAAGCAACAGCAATACGTATTGATTTGATAGAGCTACATAGTTTCTGTGAACAAATTAAATTACACTGGTCTTGTAGCCTGCTTGAATTATCTGATGTTGAATGTAGAATTGTATCTGTGATCAGCTAGTGCTGTAAACTCTGTATTTGTGTATTGGTTCAGCAAGTATAAGAAGAGAGAGTTGAAATATGAAGTGTTGCAACACAGTAATTTTCTAAGCTAAAATGCATAAATAACACTAATGCCTCTTATTTGTCTTTCTTTTGTACAGCCAAGAAGGAGGAGAAATCAGAAGTTACGAGTGTTCATTGGTTTATGAATCTAAGGTGGAGAGGAGAACAGACAGTAAATTAACTGGACATGGTATGAAGCTACTTAAGATTAGCAGGCTGGAAGAGATAAATACACAATACAACAGAAACAGACTAGAAAAAACAGCCTTTTTTCAGAGTATGGAAAAAATGGAGATGACTAGAAGCTTTAAGGAAGAAAAATTCAGTGAACCACATCCTAGAACAGAAGATGAAAAGGTAACTAACTAACTGCATAATTAATTTCCTCTTCCTAAAGCACTACCTCTTTCTTTTTTCCAGCTAGTTAAGGAGTTTACTATGTGTATTTCCCAGTAGAATTGATTCTTTCATTATTGTCTGTGAAAATGTACTTTAGCTGTGAAAGACTGGTCAGCATCTTTTAATCTTTTGTATTCATAGAAGCAAGCACATCTATTGTTGTTCTGGGGTTTATTTACGGCTGGACTTAATATTCAGAAATTGTAAAAAAAGCTGTGTGGTTCTGCCACTCTTCAAAATCAGAAGTTAAACATGGATTTTGTTGAATTCATGTTTTGAAAGCATTTTTACTATCTAACAGCACTGGAGTTAGTGGGGACTGAATGAATCCCATGGAAAGAACAGATTTCCCAGAGGAACTAAAGTAACTTTGTCCTTTGCTCCCCATTAACTGGTGAACAGAGCATGGTTAACGCAGTGCACCATATGTGCAGGGATGAGTGTTGTCCAGTATAGCTCTGTGCTGCACCTGTGTCCAGTAAGAACAGTGCTGGGCATTGTGGTATGGGGTCTCTGGTAGGAAAATGACTCTGTGATTGGCCAAAATGTGTTTAGAAGTAGTAACACATTTTCTTGTATTATGCTTTTTTCTGTGCAAGAGTCTAGGGGAAACAGTATTTTTACTGATGCATCATTTAGACAAGAACTGAGAAAATCTGCTTGCAGTAGGACAATGAGTGATTAATTTTACACACCAGTTTGTGAAAAGACTTGAAAAATTTGTGCTGTGGCTGTTTGTATGCTGATTGTGCTGATATGATAAAGCAGTTTTTCAAGTATTCTGAATATTTTTGTATTCAGATGATAAGTAAATTCCATATGTTTTCGTTTGTATTATCAATTTGGGAAGTTGAATTTTTGATAATTCTTAATCTGTTGGATCACTTTTGTTCAAAATTATTCCAGTCTTTTCTTTATAGACATAGAAAATGATCTGTATATTAAAACAAACAAAGCATGTATCGTATAAGTAGGATGTGTTTATTTTAGAGAGTTTCATTTAGTGTTACAGTGAAAATGAGTACTAAAAAAAAAAAATAGAATTGGGCGGTCAGGGTTTGGAGAATGTCAATGATTCTTCTTAAAGAGAATTTTCTTCCATTGTGAAAATAACAAGTTGCACAAGTGAGACAGCAAAACCTGCAGTTTCTGTTATGTAGCTCTTCCCTTAAGTTTATTATCTTTAGGGTAAGAAAAAAGACTGAGAGCTGCTTTGCCTGTGTTAATGTATCTTAGCTTGATGATGAATTCAAGATAGTAACTGAGGTGGTGGGATTTTTCACCTCTTTGTGCTGCAGTCTCTTAACTCATTGCCTTGATGTTTGCTTCTTCAGTCTGATGGTTGGAACTGGCTATTTCTTAAGAGTGTTGTGAGAAAAAACAGGGAGAGTTTGGAGGTGCACTAGAGAAGAAAGGAATACATTTAGAAGATGAACAGCTGGTGGCTAGTTGCGAGCCGGAGAAATAGCTCTGTATTCCCATTTTAGCTTGTCGGTCTCCTGGGAGCAAGACTTCAAAGGTGAAAGGCAATCTAACTGAGCTCTGGTAATATACCTCACCAGAGTGAGGTTTACAAATACATAAACGTTAGTTATATTTGTCCTAAGCTTTTAAAATTTCACTTTCACACAGGTTGTTTTTTAAGGAATTTCTCAATGGGATAAAAAATTAGGCCTTAACTGTGGTGTTAATATCAATGAAAGGAAAACCAAAACCTTCCTTTGAAAGGTCTTACCTTGGTCTGCTGGTCTGATGAGCAGTTTTATCTTACTGACCAGGAGAGGAAGGAAAGAAGAATGTGCTGGCAGGAAATATCAGCTCTATGCATTTAAATGTGTATGTTTGAGGGCATATGTATGTAATTTCTATGGAACAAGTTGAAAGTAATGACAGAACATCTATTCATTTAAATGAGAGTGGATAGGAACCCTAGAAACGCAGAATATGCCAAGTTGGAAGGGATCCACAAGGATCATTGAGTCCAACTCTTTGCCCTGCACAGGACCAGCCCCAAGAGTCACACCATGTGCCTGAGAGCATTGTCCAAATGCTTCTTGAACTCTCTCAGCTTGACCACTTCCCTGGGGAGCCTGTTCCAGTGCTCAACCACCCTCTGGGTAAAGAACCTTTTTCTAATACCTAACCTAAACCTCCAAGAGACCATCTAGAGGAAAGTGGTCAAAGTGTGTACTTGCTGGAAGAAATAATTCTGGCTGAAACTAAATGATTATAACTAAAGAAGAAAACTATCCACTTCCTCAAAACAGCTATTTTTCTAGATACAATTAAAAAAATAAAGCAAACACAATTTTCATATTTTGGTACAGCATGTTTTTGTAAAAAAACTCCCAAAACTAATATAGTAATAATAGTGATAATGATAATAATAATAACTTTCAGAGCTATTAAAAGACTGATGGGAAAAGTAGACCCAGGAATTGTTGACCATCAATTATGAACAATTGGTGCTGTCGAGAAGTTGTGCCGCTGCATCCCTCTAGATGGCACCCTTTGCACAGCAGCTCTTTACGGACCATTTCCCCCTTGGACAGAATGACAACTCATGACAAAGCTGCTCCTGACCTATTTTACACGTGTTTTGTTTAGAACGCCCTCTTGTCCCCCATTTGTACTGTTGGCAGCACACGTCTTTGTGGCTTGCTACGTTCTGTCTTCAGGAATGAAGTTTTGCTTCAGGTTATATGTTAACAAGTGAGAGACATTTTGTTCTATAGGAACATTTTCATGTGTGAGAACCAGATTGAAGACAGAATAAAAATCCAGACCTATCCTTGACCCATTGCACTGAATAGACACATCAAGGTGTCTGAAGTTAGTGGTCCAAGGGAGGGGGTGGCACAGGGTAGGAAGAAGCAGATGTGAGAAGGTGAAACAATCCCTTCTGACAACAGCACCATATTATGCAAATGTAAATTGATTGTGAAGCAACCACACAATTTACCCAGCTGCATTTACCCAATGAGCTCCAAGCTGACCACCTAGACTGCTTTTGATGGCCCAACCAGAGCTGCACATCTGATGAGTTAGTCATCGAATATGCTATCTCTTCCTCTGGCTCTTACCTGGTTAATATTTAGGTTGAGAATGCAATTAGAGTTGTTTAATTTAGAACTGCTATCTGCAGAAAGTGGTCATGAAATTAGTATCCAACGTGGGTGAGTTAACAGGGGAAATAGGAGCTTAGGAGCTTCTTCAATTCTGAACATCACTAATGGAAAAGAATCAAGTTGCACGCTCGCGAATCATGAAGCCGGGATTTAAAAAGCCGTCACTGACCCTGAAGAGGATAATTTTAGAGCATGTTTTATGCAAATATATCCTTTTGATAATATTCTGAAACCATTTTAAGGACTAATTTCTAAATATTTAGTTCAACTAGAACTATTTGATGTATTCAGTATTTGATGTTCAGTTAAGCTAGGCCTGGGGATGGCTAATTGTCCTCTAATTCCTTGTCTCCAGGCAGAATGTGATCAGCCTTGTCTCGTTTGAGTGTTCTTTCACCCCCTTCACCACCACCACCATTTCTGTAGCAGTTACTTTCTCTGCAGCTTCTGTATTGGAAACGATTGTGCTGTGGTAACGTTACTTTTCCAAGTTCCTTTTTTCAGGGGAGGCCAACATCATGGCAGTATTTTGTACAGGAAAAAAAATTATTGCATAATTAAGCCAAAATAACTTTTTCCCCAACACTGTTCAAGATATTGATCTAAGTATATTGACAGAAACTTATTTCTTGTTTTACAATTTTAATCAAAAATTACTCTTTAAAAAAATCCTGCAAGGGGCTCAGTACATTTGTAGTACAACTTCTTAACTAATGAAGAAGAGATCAAAACCCTCGAGGCTTTCTTCAGCCTTGAAATTGAAGAACCATGGCTAAAGCTTGCCTTGGTATGGTCAGAAAAGTGGAAGTGGACTTCAGCCAAGTTTGGGCCTATTTTGTTTTACCAATTGCCTTTTTAGCTTGCTTGGAATGCTGTTATCAGATATCACTCTGTCAACCTCAGTCTACTGCAGCTTTACAGAGTGTACTTTTTGTGGTGCACTCTTCACCTCCCAACTTCACTGCACTCTGTTGTCATGCGGCAATGTGTGTGATTCCACGATTCCAGGCAGCTTTGTTTTAGCTAATGCTCCCCCTTCCCATGCTTGTGAAAACATTTGTCTGTCTTTCTCAGAAAGAAAGAGAAGAATATCAATGTTTCCCAGCTGAAAAAAACCTCCCCACAACTAAACTGACCCTCCCCAACATAACGACTACATAATAACTCAAAAGGTGGCTTGAGAGTGCTTTGAAGTCACAGAAGTCAGAAGTTGACTAAGGAAAGGAAAACAGTCAATTTTTCAATTTCTTTATTTTCTTTACTTTTCTTTAATTTCTTTACTTTTTTTTCCAAATTATGTAATTTTTGTAGCTTGATTTGTGAATTTTTTAGCACTCGAGAGTTCTGGTACTCATATTGTTTGCTTACCTCTGATCAGGTAAGTACCCAAGCAGAGGAGAAATGACTGCTTCATCTTCCACAATGACTCTTAGTACCCTATAATTATGGGCAGCTGTTGCATGGAAGATGTATAATCCTTACATATAAATACTCCTTATATAATGGTCCTTCAGAATCCATCCATCCATATATAAGGATATATCCTTATATCCTTAAGTATTAGAGAATAAACCACAACGTGCTTTGTTCCTCAGATTTTTATTTTTCCATCTCTAGAAGAAAAACAGCTTCCCTGGACTTACAATGGAGCTGGTAGAAGGATTTTTTATTAAAGTTGCTTACCACTTGCAGTTTTAAGACCTGTTTTCAGTTAAAAATTTCCCAGGTTTTGTCTGCTTAAATGAAAATTTTCCATGCAGAATTGTCGTCACACTGAATTGCTTCGGAAAATTCAACAGAAGCAGTCTTATGTGTTTCTGGAAATTTTAG